GATGACCTGAGTGTGTTTTTGGAGGCATTAATAAAATCAGGATGAGGGCAGAAAACTGTGTCTGGAACTCACACAGTTATCTTCCCAGGCTCAGATAAGCAGGGAAAATTACCAGTAAGTTGTTGTCTGAGGCACTTACAGATTTATTTATTATTCAATAATATTTTTAATGAACCACAAGAATGGGGAGATTCTGAGTTCTCCAGAAGTCTTTTTTGGCCTTAGAGAGTACAACATTGGATGGAGGGGGGATTAGGGGAAAATACTGGGGCTGGACCTACAAGACCAAATCCTTTCAGTCTTCAAGCATACTTGGTGATCCTGAAGCAGCTACCCTCACTGTCTTGCCTCACCTACCTCACAGGTCTTTTATGAAGATAAAAGGTGAGCATCTGAACCTACCTAACACTGAGTTCCTGGGAGCATGGAAACGTGGGTAACAAGTCTCATGTGTATGGTGTGTTTGGCAAAGCTCAGTCCCGTGACGACAGCCCGATGGTAGGATCTCTCCCTTCCCCCAAAGCCAGCATTGCCTCTTCTTAGTGGGAGTGCCCCGGGACCTCTCCATTGTGGGTCTCCCTGCTTCTAGCTAGAGAAGGAAACTGATTCTACACAGCTGAAAGTCCATTGAAATAGTTTTCTTTAGCTTTCTGGCAAAGAGGGTGAATCCAATTGTTTCTGGATATTTTGGAATCTGTGCAATATTTGGGCGATGCTGTCAGTGGCCCCTGCTTCAGTTCTCAGGGATTCACCTGGCAGGTGATGCAGAAGTCACTGCTTCTATGAGCAACCTGATTCTGTGGACAGTGTTTACAGTCATTGCTACAAACACCCGCTGGATCACTGCTCATCTTCCATGGCATGGAGGGTCACAGTCTTTGCTAGTAATACAGAACAAGCACTTGCTCTCTCTGGGGAGTCAGCTTACATAAAGCAGAACTGATCAACAGCGTGTCTGAGTTGTATATCTGAGGAAATGATGGGACAGAAGAAGAAAATAATAATGGAGTGTAGTGACCAGAATGCCCGGTTTATGTCTCCACTCAATATACCAACTATGGCCCTACCTGGATGAGCAGAGTCTCATGACAGTAATGCATGCACATCCTGTATAGATTACTGCAATGCGCTCTACGTGGGGCTGCCTTTGAAGACGGTCCAGTGACTGCAACTGGTCCAGAATCGAGCTGCGCAGCTGGTGAGTTGTGGGACCACTAGGGAACACATCAGGCCAATTCTGTTTAAGTTACATTGGCTATCAGTCACTGCCCAGGCAATTCAAAGTGCTTGTTTTGACGTATAAAGCCCTAAACAGCTTGGATACTCGAAGGACCGCCTCTGTCCATATGAACCTACCCGGCAGTTAAGATCTAACCAGGGGGTCCTCCTGAAAGAGCCGTCCCTTGAGGAGGTAAGAGGGATGGCTTGCAGACAAAGGCCCTTTTTGGTAGCTGCCCCAAGACTATGGAATGCCATCCCGAGTCAGATTCGTGTGGCGCTGACACTGATGACGGACTATGGAATGCCATCCCGAGTCAGATTCATGTGGCGCTGACACTGATGACGTTTTGGCGCCTGGTCAAAACCTTCCTGTTCCAGAAGGTTTTTAATTGAAATTATATCAAGTGTGGGTCCTGACGGCAATTTTAAGAGCACTGTATTTTTAATTGTATTTTAGTTGCTTTATCTTTTTACTGTATTTAAATTGTTGTAAGCCACTCAGAGACCTTTGGGTAGTGCGGGTGGCATATAAATAAATAAATAAATAAATAAAAGTCATTGGACCAGTTGCATCATGGGATTGTGAGGGAAGGATAAAATGAGGAAAGAGGAGAAACTTGTAAACCAACTGGGCATAGAGAAAGGGTGGGATAAACAAACAATAAATTGCTGTGGGAACAGGTGCCTTGAATATACAGTGGGGTCTTGACTTGAGAACTTAATCCATATTGGAAGGCGGTTCTCAAGTCAAAAAGTTCTCAAGTCAAATCTGCATTTCCCATAGGAATGCCTTGAAAACCATTTGATCCGTATCTGCTCTTTTCCGTCCATAGAAACTAATGGGAAGCTGCTATTCCGCCTTCGACCACTAGAGGGGGATATTTTGTTTCTTTTTTTTCTTAGGTCAAGAAAGGTTCAGGGAAGGCAGGGAAAATACAGTCCAGGCAGTCCAGTACCAGGCAGTCCGAAGACTGTCTCCCAATCCACTCTCTAAACGCTGGGAGGAGTGAGGAAGCAGACAGGCACCCTTTTCACTGGCCAACAGTTAACCGAAAGTTCACATTTTGTACTTTCCCTGCCTCCCACGTGGTTTTTGTTTCAGTTCTTAACTCAAATCTAAGTACTTAAGTCAAGTCAATATTTTCCTATGAGAGCGGTTCTTAAGTCAAAATGTTCTTAACTCAAGTCGTTCTTAAGTCAAGACCCCACTGTATGTCAGTCCTTGGCCAGGGGAGTCTGGCTGAATTGAGCCAGAAATTGTCCACTAACCAATACAACCACTGTAAAATTGGCCGTTCATCTTCCCATGTCTCATGAAACAGGCAACAGTATTCTTCACCAGTGGTAGCTTCCAAGTTGTTGTCAAGGGCAACCCCACATAGAGAGGATTTTAAAGTAGTCAATCTTCTATTGGGTGTTTAAACATTATTGGAAAATACCCTGCAGATGTTCAGGCCCAAGGATAAGGTGGCACATCACTACTAGTCAAATCTTATGAAACATTTCAAGGTCTAGAATGAAGGATGCAAAAGGAGAACCTGTTAGCAATCCTGTTGATGGTTGTACATATTCCAGATTACCAGATTCAAAATATGTATTTAATACTAGCTTGTTTGAAGGGCTTCATATACATTGGCTAGCATCCTATTGGTGCTTCACATGTACAGTGGTGCCTCGCTTAATGATTACCTCGTTAAATGACAGAACTGCTTTACGATGAAGTTTTTGCGATGGCTATTGTGACTGTGAAACGATGTTCCTATGGGGAAAAATCACTTAACGATGATCGGTTCCCTGCTTCAGGAACTGATTTTTCGCTAGACGACGATTTTAAAACAGCTGATCGGCAGCTCTAAAATGGCCGCCAGCTGTGCAAAATGGCTCCCCACTGTGCTTTAGGACGGATTCCTCGCTTTACAGGCACCAGAAAATGGCCGCCCTATGGAGGATCTTCGCAAAACAAGCAGGTATTTCACCCATTGGAACGCATTGAACCAGTTTTCAGTGCATTTCAATGGGTTTTTTAATTTCGCTTGACGAGGATTTCGCTTAACAGCGATTTGAACGGTACGAATTATCCTCGTCAAGCAAGGCACCACTGTATATAAGTGAAGTGGCATAAGACACAGCAGTGAATTGCTGCTACTCAGTGGGGTACTGGTTGCGTTTCGGGTCATGCAATAGGCACACAACCAAGAGCATGACTGGCATCTCATTAAGTTTCAGAATCCACCAGTTTTGCTTACACATGCATAAACTGCCAATAGGATTATTTTTGTTATCTCTGCAGTTTTTGTAACAAGCCTGTAAGGTAAGTCATTAAGGTTATCCAATATTGCAAATGGGTTGGACAGCTAAATCTAAGGGTGTGGCTTGCCTTGAAGCCATCTACAGAGGATGTGCAAGATCAAGCTGGATTCACTCCAGATTTGTACCTCAGTTTTAACAGAGTTTTCATAGCTCTCAAGTGCAATTACAAACGCAAACCCTGGCTGACATGCCATAAATGATGGCTTTTCAAAAGAGGTGTATTGTCACCTGCTCTCCTTTGCTTGCATCCTGCTGCCAGTTCCTTCTCTGGTCTCAATGCTACCTGCTCTGTTTCTTTCCTCCCATGACATCAGCACTTTCTGTACATTTTGCAGCAGCCAGATGATAGTCTGGAGAAAGTGATCAAGGACACAGAGTCGCTCTTCAAAAGCAGAGAGAAGGAATATCAGGAAACCATTGACCAGATTGAGGTAAGAGAAGCGATACTTAAGAAAGGAAGTGCATCAGCAAGGGTGGGACGCAGAGCATGCAAGAGGAAGCCTTTCTTGACCGCAGGCACATTGTTGCAGCATAATACATATTATGAGTGACGGTAACTTTGCCTTTGCAGGCCTACAGTCGTTTTAAAGCAACACCCAAGTGTTACATTTTGAGGCTGATGTTTTCTAGCTGTTTCTAGGATTCCTTTGAATAAAGAAACAGAAAGATATTAGGTGGAGTCTATGGCTGGAATTTCGCTTCCCAGAAGAACTGGATTGATCCACAGCGATGCCTCTCGTAGCACGCAATGGCAAGCCACAGAGCAGTTCAAAATGGCGCCCAAACTGTTCTTTTCTGTTTTGTCTTTTATGGATACACTGCCATTTTGGATGGTACCACTTTTACCTGCCGGTTGCCTGCCTGTCCCTTCCCTGCCTCCCCCTGCTAGGCACACACACCCCCTTGCTCCTCTCTTGACTGCTGTCATGTCTTCACATTTTCCCCCTTTGTGCCTCCACGTGCACATGTCTGGGGGCGGCTCGTTTTTAAAAACCTGTCTTTCAAATTGCACATGCAAGGAGGCACCTAAACGCCTTTTTAAAAGCAGGGCATTACATTCCCATCACGTGAGATCTTGTGCCTAGCCCCCGATATGCCCATGGTGACAGTGTACACCCCTCCACACCCTGCAGTATACTGGATTCATTTCAGGGTCATCTTGTGCATTGAGAAGGGCGGCAATATACCTCCGCCACAGATACTTGGGACAACAGAGTCCAGAGAAGGAGGACAGCAATGGAAGAAGGGGGCTGCCTTCAGAGAAAGTTCTCAAAAGGCAATCCTTGGTTCATCTCATACGTTAGAGATCAGGATCCACTAGAAGACCTATTTGCTCAGTTCACTGACCACGTGGCTTGTTATAATTTGCTGCCACAACGGTACCCCTAGTCTTCCCTCTATTTCCCTTCTTTTATTCCCTTCATCCACCCATCTTTCCCTCCCTTCCTTGTTATGAGATTGTTAGCCTGGAAGGAGGGCGGTTTTTGTTTCATTCATCATTTATGTTTCTGCACTAGTGGATTAGGCACTTAAGTTACTGATAATATCATGTATTCATGTCCATCATGATGGCAAAGGATCAATGGCAGCTCATCCTCAGGGCCAGTGATTCCCAGCCTTGGGTAACCCAGATGTTCTTGGACGGCAATTCATCACTAGCTGTGCTGGCTTGGGTTTCTGGGGCTTGGCCCAGCCCCAATGCATGCTCAGGTCACCCTCATTCTTGGAGTGTGATGGTTGAGGGTCAGAGACAGAAGGCATTTGTATATGAGAAGGCTTTCTTGACTCTGTTTATGTTAAGTATGCTTGTTTCTGTGTATGTTCGAATGCTCACTTTGGCTCCTGGCTGAGCCTGCCATGGATTGCTATGCCTTTCCCCCTACCAGGAGCTGCTATTGGAGGCATCAAGAAGGCAAAACTAGCTTTCTGTTTTTTTCTGATAGACAGCATAGCCAAACGCGTAGGGTGCTGTTTACTTGTCTCCATGTGGGAGAAGGTAAAGAACACACCAAGGGACACTTTTGTACAAGAAGGATGCTTAAGTTTGCTTTTTGTTCACTGCAGCTTTTTGGTATCTTACTAGCCCCCCGGATTTGCCTCTGCTGGCTCCTCTTTCTCTCTCTCTCTCTCTCTCTCTCTCTCTCTCTCTCTCTGTGTGTGTGTGTGTGTGTGTGTGTGTGTGTGTGTGTTGGGGGTAATGTTAGAATATGACAGACAGCACTGAGAACTGGATTCTGTATACTGTATAGCTGGGGGTGGGAAAGAGGGCAGTGAAGAAAATCCTCTGAGGGACTGCCTTTCCCCGCCATGTGGTGGAAAATCAAGGTGAGGCTAGTGAGACCTTTGCCAAAGGGCAGCAACGCTGCTTGACTTAACCCCAAAAGCAACAGGGGCTTTTGCTGTATGTTTTGTCCAGGTTGGGCAGCCTGGTTGGGGGAGGGGTCAGCCTCTGTCCTGCTTTTCTTTTGGCACAGCTGGAGCTAGCCACGGCCAAGAATGACATGAACCGTCACCTGCACGAGTACATGGAGATGTGTAGCATGAAGCGAGGGCTGGATGTGCAGATGGAGACTTGTCGCCGACTGATCACTCAGTCAGGAGACAGGTAAGTTACTGTACTGGTCCTCTGCATGGGGGTGGGGGTGGGGGGAGTGTATGCATCAAAGAGGGCTTGGCAAATTTGGGCCTGATTCCAAGTGACTGGCTGTAACCCCCATCCCCCACCCCCCCTTGCAGACTTACAGGAGTTGTGTTTCGGGCGATGTGTCTCTAGAAGGTGATGCAGTTTTGAGAGAGGCAAACGCTGTTGAAAGAGAACTTCCACTGGATAATGGGGGTGGGGGTGGGGGGAGTGTATGCATCAAAGAGGGCTTGGCAAATTTGGGCCTGATTCCAAGTGACTGGCTGTAACCCCCATCCCCCACCCCCCCTTGCAGACTTACAGGAGTTGTGTTTCGGGCGATGTGTCTCTAGAAGGTGATGCAGTTTTGAGAGAGGCAAACGCTGTTGAAAGAGAACTTCCACTGGATAAAAGAAGCATCGCTGACCAGCTGGGCTTTTGCACTAGCTTATGGGACAAGGAATTCAGTGCAGCCCTGGGCTGGGGCTTATGTTTGCGCTGTCCCCCCCCCATCCCTTCTCCCTATGCCAGCTCCCTTGCCCTCCTCAGTGTGCCTGTCCACAGGGTCCAGTCTAGCTACGGGGTAGCCCTTGCTTCCCAGCCCCCTGCCACTCGTGGTGCCGGAGCACCTCCCCAAATCCCCGTGGCTTCTCAGCCCCCTGAGCCTGACTCCCACCAGACCCCTTTCTCTCCCCCTCCCCAGCCCACAGCCCTCGGGCCCATGTGCCTCCCCCCCCCTTT